TTACCAAAAATTAATCAAATCTGCGCATATGTTCAGAGCATGTATTTATCAAGTTTCATCAAAATCCAATGAGTGGTTCTTTAGATATCAGTGGAACAGTCATAGAACAGTAAAAATTAGTAATTATTCATGCAAATTAGGTAATTAACGAGCATGGATTTTTACCAAAACCTAATCAAATCTGCGCATTGGCCCAGAGCATCTATGCACCAAGTTTCATCAAAAACCGATGTATGGTTCTTGAGATAGCAGTGGAACAGTCGGACACACATACACACATACACACACACATACACACATACACACATACACACATACAGACATACAGACATACAGACACACTAACTGCAAAGACTCCCATTTTGTGCTTCGCACATGGGAGTCAAAAAAACAAGATGCCGGCCAGTCAACAATCTTTGATCCAATTGCGAAATAAATCGTCATGGACATGTATCCTAACATGTATAATCTATGTACCAAGTTTAAATGACAACTGACAAAGCATGTCCAAAATACAACATTTTCAAAAAACAAGATGGCTGCCAGTCAGCCATTTTGAATCGAATCGCTAAACCACTGCATGTGCATATGTCCCACATATGTCATACATACTAGGCACATGCAAAGAATGAACTGAATCAATCCACAGGATTCTGAGATATGACTCCAGACAGACGCACAGACGGATGGAGACCAAATTATAAGTCCCCGTTTTTGGACTTTGTCCGAACGGGAACTAAAAATGTACTTGATTGAAGTGAGCATGGAATTCTTTGTGGCCATGCATTAGAATAATGGTACTTCCTACTTTCATGCAGTGACTGATTGCTCAGATCAAAAAGGCATTCAAGGAGAATCTACATGATACATAAATACATTGCTAAGATGATGAATTTGTAACAGTCATTAGCAAACAAATCTTACAAAGAATCAAAAAGTAAACAATTCAAGTTGATTCAAGTACATTATGTACTTTAGACATTTTTTCAAGACATCATTCATATGGACCATACAGTACTCATTCCACCCAACCTCCCGCCCGCTTCCGGATTTCCATCGCTTTTTTTTCGCTCGCTTTGTTCAATTCGACTGGACAATTTCCGCTTTTTTTTTTCGACCGTGCAAATCCGGAAGAATCCGTTGGCTCACTTGTTAGTTGGCCTGACAGCGCAGCAGCCCGCATTTACAGTTCATTACCTAAGGTTTCATGTACAAGTGTATCATTTTTGTTTTTATGATGTTAAAAGAAGAATAAATACAATCAGAAATTTATAGAACGACCATTGAAAAATACGGTGGATCACACTGCCATATAA